CCACAAGCAAAAGTACAGAAAATCGTAGATCGTTGCAATCAGACTCTGAACCGCAAGAACATAACTTTACGTCAGCTTGCCAGTCTAATTGGTCTGCTCGAATCAACACGCCCAGCCATTTGTCGAGCACCTCTTCACTTCCGTCATCTACAAATAGACCAAATAAAAGGCCTACAAGTCAATCAAAAATCTTACGAAGCTCTTGCAAAGCTGTCTCGAGATTCCCGTCAGGAGGTGAGCTGGTGGCTGAAGAACATCCACAAGGTCAATGGCAGCCCCATTCATCCCCCATCTCCAGATGTAACCATAACAACGGATGCTTCAAAGAAGGGCTGGGGAGCAGTCCAAGGTTGTCTGTCGACAAATGGCAAATGGTCAGAGCAGGAAACAAAGATGCATATAAATTATCTGGAGCTAAAAGCTGCATTCCTAGCTCTACAATCCTTCCTCAAAGACAAATCTCACCAGAACGTGTCACTTCGTATGGACAACACGACGGCCATTGCCTACGTCAACAACAAGGGGGGTACACGCTCCCCACAACTCTTAGCTCTAGCACTAGAGTTATGGGAGTGGTGCCTAGCGAAAGAAATCCTCGTAACGGCTTCCCATATACCAGGTCTGGAAAACACCATGGCAGACTCGGAATCCAGGGAATTCAAGGATATGAGCGAATGGAAGCTAGATGCTTCAACCATCCAGCCATTCCTAAAAACTTGCCGGACCGATCTGTTTGCCAGTCGTCTGACTCATCAACTGAAGAACTACATCAGTTGGAGACCAGACCCGGGGGCCATCCACACGGATGCACTAACAATCCACTGGGGTCCACTGAAGGGTTACGCATTCCCACCATTCAACCTTGTGGCAAAGACTCTAGAAAAGGTGATAAGCGATCAAACGGAGATAATCCTAGTAGCACCTGTGTGGCAGGCACAACCTTGGTGGCCCGTTCTACTCAGACTCTTAGTAGCACATCCGATTGTACTGCCCAACAGTCCAACACTGTTGACCGACGCCGCGGATCGGATGATTGTCCACCCAATGTTTCCTCGGCTCCATCTGGCCGTATTTCATGTCTCCACCAACATTTCCAGTCAGAGGGTTTTCCATCAGACGTTGCAAAACTTCTCATCTCAGCCACTAGACCCTCCACACGTCGTACATACGAATCAAGCTGGAAGCGCTGGTGTGGCTGGTGTAGTAAACGGAAAATTAATCCCGTTTCAGCATCTATAAATGAAATTCTGTCCTTCTTAACCGAAACATTTAATAGCGGGACTGCTTACCGAACGCTTAACGTATTACGCTCAGCAATCTCTTCAACTCATCCGAAGATAGATCGCTATCTTGTTGGCCAACATCCTTACGTAATTCAYCTACTAAAGGGAGCTCTACAGACTCGCCCACCTCAGCCAAGATATACTCACACCTGGGATGTAAACCTTGTTTTAAATTACATCTTATCACTCAAGAAGAACAAACTCCTAAAACTWAAGGAACTATCCTTTAAACTATTGATYCTTTTTGCTTTGACTTGCCCAGAACGTACTTCTTCTTTAGCCAAGTTAGACCTGAGATACTCAAAGTTCCTCCCAGAAGGTGTCACCTTCTCTTTAACATGTCCTAGGAAAGCAGGTAATCCTGACAAGCCAGCTGTAGCTTTCTTCGCCAGCTTTAAAGAAAACAAAAATCTCTGCCCAGTCAGATGCCTTAAACGTTACGTAAAAGCTACACGCGGCCTTCGGCCTGCGCAATCTCCTTCTTATCCAAATATCCTGTTTATCTCCTTCATCCGTCCACACAAAGCTGTTACCTCTACTACACTTGGGCGCTGGTTGAGATCTACGCTGCAAAGTGCATGAATAGACACTCAAATGTTTAAAGCTCATTCTGTGCGTAGTGCCTCTACTACAGCAGCTGCTAATGCATTTGTACCTTTGAGCACTATTATGTCCATGGCTGACTGGTCGTCTCCTTCCACGTTTAGAAACTTTTATTACAAACCTACTCATGATAGTGAATATGCTACCAGAGTATTATCCTCACATTAGCTTGTTACATTCTTTCTCTGTAGTTTGGGAAATATCCCAAGAGTTGATTTACTTGAATAAAGCAAGTCATGATATACTTTACATTTATAAGTGATTTTATATTCACACGCTCTCTCACTTCGTCAGTACATGAGTGCGTTAAAATCTACCATTTGTTTTCTCATATATTTCGAACGGAGTCTGTGAAATATAATGAGAATTATACTAGGGCCGCGAAGCGGCCTGAACGTATAATTCAGATTATATGAACAGACGAAGTGAGAAATATATGAGTTCCCGCCCTACTCCCTCCCCTAGTCCAGCTTTTAACCCGTTGGGTTACTTACGACTTTAACTCAGCACTGCGTCAAAAAGCCGGCTATGCATTATGGTCCCACGTGGATATAGGCACATGGGGGCTTATGGGTAGGGATCGTTTTTTCTACCTTAGGGTACCCACCTGGGGACCCTATATGTGTTAAAAAGTGGTTTGAAGCACTAAATGGGAAATTCCTACCATTTGTTTTCTCATATATTTCTCACTTCGTCTGTTCATATAATCTGAATTATACGTTCAGGCCGCTTCGCGGCCCTAGTATAATTCTCATTNCCTAGACCGATGCATTCCGATGAGATCAGAGATATCACATTTGTAAATGAATTGTTTTTTTATCACATAAAAGCGCAAGTAGAATCTAACATTTACTAACGATATTCGTACATCTATATGTTTGAACGAACGATGAAACGAGTAGAATAAAGACGAGAATGGATAGATGTCCATGAAATGTAAGCTAATGCTTTCAGCATACAATGTTTTAATGTTATTGTTTGTAAGTTGATATTGTCATGCCTCACGAATTCCTTGCACATAGTAACTGATTAAATGTTCTTAGAATGATTAATCGATCACGTGCTTTAGGGGGATGTCCACAGTGAATCAAGCTAGAATCGGAAGTGTTGAGCCTAGATTTTTCACTTGGCATGAGAAATATTACAGGAGCCGGAGCTGCAAGCGAAGGGGAACTGCTGAGGGAACACATTGCGGATAATCAGCTTTCTGACTAGTATGTTGTCTATGTTCTACTAAAAAACTCATGGATGTCACACATCGAGACTGTCACGCAATTCAGCCATACAAAAATTGTCACGCTGTCACGGATTTGTCTGTCAATTGTTTGAAAATTAAATGACATTCGTTTATTTTCCATTTTCTCTTTCCTTTCATCTATTCCAAAGCATATCACCTTGGTAACGGCCAATCTTAAGCTACTGTCTGGTCGTCATAGTAACTATGAAACCATAGCAACAAGTGACCTGTGCTTGGTCACTAGATTGTACCAAACAATGTCGAGACGTTAACAACATGTTATGACTGGTGGCAAACTGAACATCCTTCAAAACTCTAGTGATTATGACTGGCAGCCACCAGCTAACAAACACTGCCAGAAATAACAGCGATTGTGAAGAATAAATGATGAATTGATTGATTTTTCTCGGCAAATACTCGTAAATTATCGCTAATTTTAAAAGAACGTTACAGAGCAAATCCAGTACACTTGATGTGGAAATGAAATCATTTCATTCAATTTTCCTTCTTTCTTTTCGCATCACTGATTTAAATACTAGGTGTACATAGATTCAAAGTTAAAACTTTGAAAGAACAAAAATTAGAAACAAGAATTCTTACTTATTAATTTTCAGTATTTCAGTTACCAGTATTTTTGCGTTGAAAAATTGGTATTGTCAGTTTGTAAACCAGTATCTAGTTTGTTAGTGATGTCATTTGGTTGGGATTAGATGGGAAGTAATCAATATTTTACGCACTTTTCATGCAGCAACTTTAATATTATTCTTTGACGTCCACAGTGACAACTTATATTCTTTGAATTTTGAAAACAACAACAACAACAAGAATAATGTCTGATAGGATAAGAGAATCAGCGATGCCGGATTCAAAGATGATTTTGATAGGAGTGGGACTCGAACCCTTGACAACTAATTTCGAAAAAGATTGAGACATTGTGTAAAGCTAAATATTTTAAAATTGCAGCTAGGATGTTGCATGATAAGAAAATTGAGTCGTCTCTAGCTTGAAAAATAGAATTTAATGCAGACGTTTCGATCGCAACGGCGATCTTCTTCAGTGCAGTCGCAAAAATGCAAAGTGTGCCCGCGCGACTAACGGTGTAAAGCTCATGCGTCGAATCGACTTACATCCCGGTTGAGATTTCGGATCTTCCATGCTATTCCGAGGTACCTGACGTAACTTTAATTTACGCTTACTATTTGTCTCAATCTTTTGAGGCAAGAAATAGAGAAGCTAATCGGCTTCTAGACCCCTTGCACCCTAAAATAATCGAAAAAATGTTAAATTGAGTTAGTTTGTCCGATGACATTGTCAAGGGTCTATATAAGTGCGGCAATAGGCCACCATAGACCAGTGCGGTATCAGGGTATTTCGTTAACTCGTGACGAAAGCTTGCGGTTTTGAGCATTGCATTTACCGGGTTCGAATCCAAGTTCAGTTTCCTAAAGTATACAACAAGTTGATCCCTTTTCTCCTGTTGTTTTCTCTCTTCTCTCATGTTTTTTCCCTGCATATTTTCTTTTTTGGTGAAGAAGAAGTTTCTTATTTTTGTTCTAGTTATGACAAAAATATTT